GGGCATTTGGAGTTCTGTCTTTCCAAAAAAAAATAAAAATAAAAATAAAAATGAAAAAAAAAAATAGTTGTCAAATCTAATTGTCACTTCTCAGCCAACTTCTTATTGGCTGTTTTTTGTTTTTTTTTTTTTTTTTTATTGCATGCATCACTGTTAATGAACTGCCTTTGCAAATGCTTAACAAGCTTGGATTTTAATAAGCTAATCTCTTCTGTTTCTTTGCTGTTCTCTGTTTCTGCCTACTTTTTAAATATTGGTGTATGGGAGAGTTTCATCTATGGCCAACTGATCTTTCTGCCAACCCTTTGCTTACAGGAATGTACCTATTTATTTTTATACCCTAATGATTTCCAAAGTAACACCAGCCAAGGCACTTGTATCCTAATAGTTCATTTGTTCCTGGCTTTCCCTCAGGCCAGTCCAACTGGATAAACAAAAATTAAAATAGAAATCTTTATAACCCATGCCCACTCTCTCTCCTCAAACCTCTCTTGCATGCCTGACCACTTCCTCACAAAAGCCAGGGACTGAACGGCTTCCTAGACACTTCTGTCTACCTCGGGTCTCGTGATCAAGCTGTTGGGAAGTGTTATCCAGCCCCTGAATTACGTTTGTGTAGCCTGAGGCTCCACTGTTACTGCTCAGTGTCATACCATCTGGATCTCTCCTTTGAATCAAGGGGTTTTTAATTTTTTTTAAAAAAGATTTATTTTATTTATTTGAAAGGCAGATTTACAGAGAGAGAGTGAGAGAGATCTATCCACTGGTTCACTGTCCAATTGACAGGGCTGGGCCAGGCCAAAGCCAGAAGCCTGGAATCCCATCCTGGCCTCCCATGTGGATGCAGGCAGCCCAAGCACCTGGGCCATCTTGCACTGCCTTCGAAGGTGCAGTAGGGAGCTGGATTGGAAGTGGATCAACCAGGACTCAGAATGTACCCATATGGGATGCTGGTGTCACAGGCTGAACTATTGCACCACAACATTGGTCCCTGAATCAAGGTTTTCAAAAAAATGTGTTTCGGAATTATTTATTCATTTATTTATTAGAAAAGCAATGTGGGGAAAAAGAGAGAGAGAGAAAGACAGAATCTTCCATCTAGTAGTTCAGTCCCCAAATGGCCAGCCAGGTAGGGTCCAGGTCAAAATCAGGAGCTGGAGCTTAATAATCTATCTGGGTTTCCCCCATGGGTGGCAAGGACACAAGTACCTGTGTGCCATCTTCCACAGCCTTCCTAGATTCATTAGCAGGAAAACAGCTGAAAGACAGAGTCGCCATGGCTCAGACCTGCACTGGGATATGGGATGCTTCCATTCCGAAAAGCAGCTTAACCTGCCGCAGCACAGTACCAACCCGGCCGCATATTTTCAAAGTGTCAAACATGAGTTTCATACCTTATCTGTACCAACCCAAATTTCATATAATCCTTACAATGTCTTTATGAGATAGGATCTGTTATTGTCTGAAGTTCAATAAGAGTGACAGAGCCTGGGCAGTCCTAGGTTGATTTTATTTAAGAGTCCCAATGGTAATCTCTGTGTGATACTGGCTATCCTATTACGAGGGATCCTAATTGGTATTTAGTGTTTAGTGTTTCTTTTTTTCTTCTTTTTATTTCTTCCATCCCTCCCCCTGCTCTTTCTTAAATATGTCAAGAGGACTTTCTAAATTACAAATTCAATTGTGTCTGTCCTGCTCACCCTCTCTACCCTCCATCCAGAGAACTATAGAACTCTTCGTAACCGCGCTCTTCCCTGGTCTTTTTCAGATACACTGACATTTCGAAATCTATAATAATAGAGGGGTTTGTCAGTGCCTCAAAAAAGCTTGTTTTTCAAAATTAGCCTCTTTTCTGAGATCATTTTCCTTTAAAATGCCCCATTTCTATATTCTACTCAACCTTCATTCCCTCCATAGAACTACTCTTTAACTCCAATGTCTCACTGGCAAATTTTCATGGTGGAATATAGTTTGTTTCTCATTAAAAATAAATGTTTTCATCTTCCATTTCCTCTTCTTATCTCCCTTCTGGGAGATTCTAGGCCAGTTTAGTTTGACTTTAAAAAGGCTGCTTCAGTTTTAACTATTTTATCTCTGCTTTTCTTCCGTTCCACCCAGGAAGGGTTCTCAAACAATGTGGACCACCAGGATCACCTGAGGATTTGGCTCACTTGTAGATTTCTGCATCTAGCTACCGAGATTGAGATTCAGTAAGTCATTGGTGGGAATAACGGGTCACTTTCTATGTGCATGCCAGACACTTCCACAGAAGAGAGGCCCTGGGCCAAAGGTAGGAAAGTACCATGTCCTATCCTATTAGTTTAATTGCTCCCTATAGTTCAGGTATGAGCAGCCACTGCTTGTGAAAATGTTGCTGATGCCTCTCTGAAGTCTGGAGTACATCGTACAGTCATTGCCAAGGGTATAGGAAGCATGTCCAGGTGATTTACAATTCGCCCTTTGAAGAATGTTTCCATGCACTCTGTCCTGTCCTCCACCTCCTCTTTCCCTCATACTTCTTGTATCACAAATACTCTACACTCTATATGCTTGGGGCTGTGTGTGTGTGTTTGTGTGTGGCTCTGTTGCAGTCTATTCTGCTTTCATTTCTGTTCCATCTGTCTACCTGCCTGCAGTGCCTTGTGAGCCATTCTCCAACTAGTAACCTCCTGCCCATACTTTGAGGTGCAATTCTACTACCAATTTCCTGTTTTAAAGTTATTTATTTGAAAGACAGAGTTAGAGAGACACAGAGAGAGAAACACCCTCCTCCCCACCCCCAACAACACACACAGATTTTCTATCTTCTTCCCTCTCCAAAAGGTTGCAAGCTATGGGGCTGGGTCAGGTGTCTGGAACTCCATCCAAGTCTCCTATATTGGTGGCAAGAGCCCAAGCACTTGGGTCATCTTCTGTTATTTTCCCAGGCATATGAGTCAGGAGCTAGATTGCAAGTGGAACATCCGGAACTCCAACTTGTGCTCCTAAGCGATGCTGGTGTCCAGGACGGAGGGTTAAGCCCCTCCCACTTTCTTAATAAAGCCTTCTCTGAGTCAGCTGTCCTCACCTGTATCCTCCCCACTCTTACTATGGCCAAATTAATCACCCCCTTTGTTTATTGGCATCATATTTTTTAACTTCTCTCTGAAAGGATGCTGAAACTATATACTGTTTTGACTTTTTATCTATTGTGTTTGCCAGGGAAGTATCAAAGTTAGAGTGCCTACATCATTTGCATTCTATTCCCAGGCCAGGGATTGCATTATACTCACTTGAAACTCTTGTAACTTCCTTCAAACAGGACTGCCTCTTTCCACAGTGACAACAGATTTTAAACGTGAAAAGAGGACTAGCACAAGGAGGCCCCATGCATGTACAGGCCAGCATATTGCCATGTTCCTCTAAAAAATAGTTTTCAAATACTCACTCCCAATAAGATTTTAGTTTCTTTCCAGTTACAGACAAATGGTATTTCACCCAAGAACAATGCAATTGTTGTGCTGGAACTTTATACAGCTTGCTAGGGAGTCACCACTGTCTACGTCCTCTGTTTACTCTCCGTCATTATTTTCACTTCTGACAGACTTGGCACTTGCAGCCGGCTCTGCAGCCTCTGGTGACATAATGTGGGAAGAAGTTGGAGATACAAAGTAACAAGGCACACACAGAAAAGGGTACAGGGTCACTCTCTTCCCTCCCACTCCCCCAAGCCAGCCAACAAACCATCAGTGAAAGCTGTTAGTGTAAATTCAAGTGAAAACCGTGTTCTCAAAAACATAGTGTTTGTGGAATAAATATCTTATTAGTAACGCCTGTTCAAATTTATCTGGCTTTTACTACCTAGAGCTCTACCATTGATCACTGAACTTAAGGTTGCAAACATGTTTCACTTTCTGAAGTTGGGCAAGGAATGTAATAATCTGTTCTCTTGTTTTGAATAAGAAGGGATAGATGGGTGGGAGGATAATCCTGTTTACTGGGGGATGCTTTAAAAATGAGCATAGTTCTTAAAACATAAATCACAAAATTATTTGGCTGAAATGCATTGCAATTATATTATTCAACAAGGGGACTGGAAATGTGAGACTACTTGAAACCACAGTGTAAAGTTAAGTGAGGAAGTATAAGGACATCGCTATTTAGCCATTGGATTTGTAATGTTAAAGAAGAACTGTATCCAAATATTATCAAATTATTAGTGACAGAAAAGCTGAGTGGGGAGCTGTGACTTCAGCATTGTTTCTTTCTCAGAACCCAGAGACACCACAGCTAGCTAGTGAGAGAAAGTTTTATTTGTATTATTTTTGCAGCACAGAATAAGGGGTGGGAGCTGACTGGCGCCTTCTGCTAGGGTTGAGATCCATTCCTTATGGTGCTGAAGGTCTTTCCAGTTTGGAAAACCAAAGTGTGCAGTGTGTGCACTGAAATCACTGTGCCAAATCTGTGTAAGAGCCCTGTTACCATTTGGTGTAGACCCGAAGAGCCTTTCTGAGCCACAGACGACTTGCAGACAGTTCTGATCACAAAGCACGCAATAAGGACTACTCCTACTTTCCCTTTTCATTATACAATCACCATTAAGATCCTTTTTAAATAAAACGCTCCAGTTCTTTGACTAACACACATTCCCCTGCCATTTCGTTCTTTTTTTTCCTTTCACACGGCCCTATGACACCTCCATCAGAGTTTTCTGATGTCTTGGGGAAATTGAGCTAGGGAGCACATACAGCAAACAATACAATAGCTATACTTTCGTCGAAAATAAAGAGCGGTGCCTTTCTCTCCCCATCTCGACTCTGCACCACTGTCCCATCACAACTTCTGGGTTTCCCGCCCCATAGGCGACGCCCCGAACTCCCTCCGCAACCCCGCCCTGGCAGCTGGCCCGCAGAGCTGGGTGCAAGAGCGGTCCTGCCTTCGCCCGCGGCCGCCTCCGACGGCACTAGGACCCAGGGAGGCCGCCGAGCGCGGTTCGCAGAAAGGCAGCCAGACTCCTCCTTATCTCCAGTGTCAAACTTGACATCAGCCTGCGAGCGGAGCATGGTAACTTCTCCAGCAATCAGAGCGCTCCCCCTCACATCAGTGGCATGCTTCCTGGAGATATGCTCCTCTCACTGCCCTCTGCACCAGCAACATGGATTGTCACCTCTCCATCCTCCTCCTGCTCAGCGCCTCTGTTCTCCACTGCTTCGGGGAACTGACTCCGCAGCCTCCCAATGAAGGTAAGCCAGGTGCGACCACGCGCGCAGCCCTGCCCCGCGGGGCTCACGCTCCGCCGAGCACGTTCTCACCGGAGCCTTTTCACGCCGTCGAGGTGCCTCGGAACCGAGCAGCTGGCTCTGAGAGTAAGCGAAAGATGCGCTTTTATTTTCCGCTGCCTTCCAAAACACTTTGAGATAGCACTGCGTTGTCGAAACCTCCAAAATGTGTTTTTAATCTGATACCAATTCAAGCAATTACCGTGTTTGCCAATTTGAAGCAGAAAGAAAGAAAATTCTCCAGTCTTACAAACCAGTATGTTAATTGCCAAATAGCCAAGGCAGTATTTTATTTTCTAATTATGACCATGTGGTACTCAGAGAAGTTTAGAAGAAAATCCAACCCTCTGCTCGGGTCCTTTAGTATGCCTAAAGGTAATGACAGGTTGGTCCTACTTGGGAACAGGGCATTTATGAATGCACTAAAGAAAACTGGAGTTTGTGGAAGTGGAGGTGTGTGTGTTGATGTTACAACTGCTGCACTGAAGTGATGTGTACTCCGCCAGGCGATGGTTTGTTCCATTGGTACAGGTTCTAACGAGCAGCATATGCCACATTACCATAAGTAATATTTGCAGGAATTACAATAAGCTTAAGTTGGATTCTCTTTGTTTAAGGGCTTATAGACAAATAGGAGAACGTATTTAGTGAACAGTGAATAGCTCCTGGGTAGAGATAGTAAATAACTCAATAGCAAATTAAGAAAGAATGTGCATATGCAGCAGATGGCATTTCCTTGATGTTGGGTTATTTATTTTCTTTGAAATGGGCATTCATCCCTTTTCAATGGATTAAAGTGCAAACGTAATAGTAAGGGCATCACTGTTGCCTATAAGATTATGTCCTTAATAGATACAATGCTTTCTTTTTTTTTTCCTGTAAACCTTTTGTGATCTAGTTCTAATGGTTTGTGAATACAATCACTAACTCTTAAGATAAACTTCTCTAAATAATTGATCGCTTTACGGCAACACTTACATCTTTGATTTCCTATTAATGATTTTGAACTTACAACATTTAGCAGTTTATTTTCCAAGTTGGCAATACTAAGTAATTGATGTGCACACACACACACACACACACACATATATAAAACTCAAAATATATTGTCAAGCCAATATTGCTGTATACATTATTTTAAAAATGCAAGGAAAAGTAAAATATTTAGAAACTTTTCCATTAAATATAAAATCTGCCTGTGATATTTGGTGACCTATTTTTCACTACTAATAAAGCAGTTTAATTTCTTTCTCTCCTTAGTGACTGCTTTCAGCAATTTAGCAAATTTCATAAAATTTTCTTTTTTAAATGATGAAATTAAAGAGTCTGAAATAGAAGAATGAAGAATCATCTTCCCACAAATGACTTTTTTTTACAAACCAAAATAATATGTTTATTTGAAAGTAATAATCAATCAATACTCATGAATGAAAGGCAAAAGTAATCATCTGTATAATGAACAACATGTAATTTGAAATTAGTGCTTTAACCCTATTCTTTAAAGATTTAAAAACGTTGGCTGTTGCCAAAAAATAGTATTATAATTCCCACTTTGCAATGACAAATTGTGTCTTTCCAGATGGAATGAACATAAACCATTTAGGTAATGGATGGCACTGAATTAATAATGCTCAGGAATACAGCTGACAATCATGATTTTTGCAAAAAACATGTTTTATGTAAATTTCTAGAAAAAACTGACATATAAAAATTTATTCACACCTATGTAATATTAATGGATATTAGTTTGATATAACAGAAATCATCCAAAACAGATTGCTTTTAAGCCATACCTTATGTATGTTTTGGTATATAATGGATATAATCACACAGGCAGGTAGACATTAACAATATGCATATAGAAAGATAAATATATTGAGAAAACTGATGTAAGGACATTTAATCTGCTTGGATAAAAGTTTACCTGTTTACCTATCCATTGTTTATGGGGTGATTCCTTCGATCTCATGTCCTATGGGTAGGGTGTCCTTTCCCATCTGAGGTTATGAAAGGAGATTTCAACTTTTTTAAAATGAATTATTTAATTTAGGAAATATTTGAGCAATATTTCCAATATTAATCCCATAGTAGTTGAGTTGAATAACATGAAGAACTCTTAGCAGTTCACTTGAATAACAAGAAGAGCAAAAATTCCATGTGCCAAGACTTCTATGTGTAATTTAAAAAAAGGTAATGCCTCTGACAATTCATACATGAAGTGGTAAGGATCAAATAAATCTTATTAATGTAGTTTTTATAGAATTTTTGGAAAATGAAATATAAAACACTAGGTTGAATTTAAAATAGGATATTCAAAATTATATTTTAACACTTTAGAAAATTTATGAGATATTTACTGGAACATATTTAATGGAACACATTCTGCTACCAACATGAAGTTAATCATAATAGAGTTAAAATAGAACAAAATAAGGCCCTTTATTTAATTTCTAGGAAACTTAATGTTGTGTGTATTTTAAAGAAAAAAATGGAGATTTAATATTGAAATACCAATACTGAAATGTCATGGGTTCATGATAAGAAAACTAACTTCAGAAAAAGTCTGAATTATTCATCTAGTAATCCAGTTACAAACAACTTTCTAATATGCTTTCATGAACTGATGTCAGATGACAATTTGTATCACTGTTTCCTTCACAGTGAAAATGGATATTCATAATTTTAATGATCACTTAAACCAAGAATTGGCCTACATGCTTAAAACTATAAAGCCTTAGTAAAATCTTACCAGCTCTTTGTTTATATGATGTAAGATTTCCAATGGGAAATCCATTCCTTTTCATGGCAAAATATTATTTCTACACAATGTTTTATTATAAAAGTTCCTATGTTTGTTTTCCCATCCTAGATGGATTAAGATAATGGTAAGTGTAGATACGAGTAACTTTGGAAAGAGGTTAAAATTTGATTTAAAGTGAAGTTATTGCTGTTATTAGTTCAACTTCTTTTAGAATTGGATAAAGTTCTCCCTTTAAACACATTAATACATTTGAAGCAGTCTCAGGCAGAATACACTGCTTATTCATCACTATATAATACAATAAACCATTTTCCATCTAAAAGTGTTCATAAATTGGATTAAGATTTATCCATAGAGCTCTTTGCATCAAAGACCAGAGTTTTCAAAATAAAACTTAATAAAATTATTTATATACTACTTATTTTGGGAAGACTTTTTTTTTAGAGACTGAGACACTGTTCTATGCAATACATTTCCTTGAACACAAATTTCATCAGTACTAGAGGAGACTATATGATTGCTTAAAGCTTAAAAGTAGAATCTGCAGATGCGTGCTATGTGTTTCCCTTTGAGTATAAGGCAAAAAATGGAGACAATGAATGTTTTGAATAGATTACTTTTCTTTTAAAACACTATTGTTAATTGACATTATTTTTCATACATTAAAAACATCCTCAGATAAGAATATATTGTGATTGAAACATTAATAAAATATCATAACATCTTTATAGAGCTTTTGGTGGGGAGAGAACATTGCTTTTAATAAATTTCTTCAAGCTAGACTAAATAACTGAATGTACTATACATTTTTGTAATTTAATAGCTCTCCTAACAGCTTTCTCCTACACACCACCCAACAGTTATAACTGTGCTATTTGCCTCGAGGTAGGAGAAACCTTAATTTCACTATTTTATAACCCACAACAGTTAACACTTGACCTAGGTCATTAACAGGATTATCAGCAAATTTGTTTAAGCTTTTACTGACAATCTGAATTGCTATGATAATATTTTGATTGTACCGGAAAGAAACTTCATGTAACCTTTCAAAATCTATCATGAAATTAATTCATTCTGAATCTACATCTTCCTATAGATCAATATTGATGATAATAATTCAAGTGGGGAAAATATTCACTTTGATGCCTCATTATCCTCATTTTTATGTTTCACATGTCACACTATTCCACTTCTTGTCATAAGTGAGCAATTAAAAACTCTTTTAAACAGTAACTGTTCTAGAAAAAATAATAACATAATAAATACAAAGTATCCTAATTTTAACTACAAACATTTTCAGTTTTATACTTTTTTACTCTGGCTGCTGTGATTGGTATAATTTTTCTGTTTAAAGAGTCAGTTGTTTATATTTATAACCCAGAAGTAACTAGAACTTTGAAAGGGAAACTATATAGAATAAAATACTATTGCCATGTGTTATATCATGGCTGTATTTTAGAGGAAGTTGTCTTTCCCATGAAATAAGGAAAACTTGGAAATACAATGAAAAATGCTTAAAATTAACACAAAAATTTATAACAAAATAGCACAATCAGAGCTTAAAAGTATTTTTAATGTTGTTTAATAGTTGAATGTAAAGTTTGTCATTAAGTTTAATGTAAAATTTCAATGTAATGAAGTTTAATGTGAAGTTTTTTGTTAGCTGAATGTAATTATGGTTTGCTCCTTGCTTATATTAACAATTTAGTAGTTTCACCTTAACTCAAAACATCCATTTCTAAAGAAAGGACTTAGCAAGATTCTTTATCTTATTTGTACAGTACTCACATGTTAATTGTCAAGTCCTGGATGTTCTTTAATGATTCAATCACTTTTAATACTTTCTCATAGTAACTTTCTTTATAAAGATACCTAAATGTTCAAATAGTTTCAAAAACTATGGAACTTTTCTGAAATGAAATATATGCAATTTTTAAATATCAAATAATCAGTTACATATGCAAAGGATTTTTAAAGGCAAAACATATTTCCACAGTATATTTGATTTACTAACTTCAATGCAAATGGAAACAGCAAGAAGTGTTTTTCAGGGTTACATTTTCCAAGTCATAAAATCCTCAAGAAAATATTAATAAAACTTTCCACAAATCATCAAAACTCGATAAGTTCTTACAGACACTTCCTAAGAAATCTGTGATGTGGTATACCTTTGATTCGAGTCATTTTCCAATGATTTTGTTTGGCATAAATATTAGATGTAAAGGGAAATATGTATTTCTTGGAAGAACACTAAATTTTACGAGTAATTTTCTGTCAAGATCTTCAACTTTGTTTACTTTTTACCACACACATTTCTTCTTTAAAATATTTAATAAACCTTGTCCTTTTAATTCTTATTTGAGAAAAGATTTAGAAGAACAGATGCAGGTGTCCCCTTTTTGGTTCTGTGTTCAGAGATCTGGATTTTATCACCAGAGAGGGTCAATAAAGGGCTTTTACCAAGTGCGCAAGTAGCTTTCCACAGATTTTTCAAATAAAGAGTTGACTGGTGGTGTGAAAGAGTCATTACAGTATTCATCCAGGTATTCAGAAAACCAGGTTGAGAAATTTCTCAAAAAATTTGAAGACCTTAGCTAATGCGTCAGTAATGACTTCAGAAATAAAACGTTGTGACATTTGTAAAATGCCAAGGCATGGAAGCCACAAATCATCCGTCCACCCAGAAGATATTCCTCTTTGTATTCAGGGCATGGACACATGTGCCCCCCCCACCCCCCTTGGTTTCCCTCTGCAGGTCTGTTAGCAGCTGCCTGGTATCAGGTAGTTCTTGGAACTTAGCAGGAGGCTTTCTCCAGGAAAAGTCTGAGGGTCAGCAAGTTTGAGTTTGCCTCCTACTAGCTTTCCTTGAGATAAAAAGGGGGGTCGACTACAAAGAAGGGATAAAGTATTAGCAAGAGGAAAGAAAATTAAAAAGTTGATTAGAAAGATAGAGAGGTAGTGCAGACCGAAAGCTGTAAGACCAATGTTAATACCGAAATCCTCTGCTGAACATTCATCAATCAGACATCTGGCTAATCGACTTTTATGAAATCCCTGAAAACTGCATACTTTAAAAAAAAAAAAGAGGGATGCATTTGTTTCTCCTCTCAATTTTACACAGTTTTGATATTTTTCCCCAGTGGAAAATACTTTACCCAGGAAAGTTTTAAGAGTGGTAGCCAAGGAATGCTTTCCCCCTTGGAATGCCCGGGGAAAGGCACGCGGAGATGGATGGAATCAAAGCCAGTTCAGCAAATCAAGCCTCAAGTGTGCACTGATGTTATTAGACTAGAAACCCTGAGTGTGGACTTGCCTCCACCTTATTTTCTGCTCTATGTCCTGCTGTTCTAGTCAAAGCTCAGGGTGAAAATCCACGTAATCCAAACCAATATGGTGCAGTGAGCTTAACAGATGCGGAGAGAGGTGGAAAACAAGTGGCAGCAGTACAAACAGTTGTGGATCAGCCTCGCCTTGGGGGAGGGGGGCCCAGGAGGGGACCACTGCGTTTCTTTTCCTTCGCGTTGCCCCTCCCACCTTAGATAATGCGGTATTGATTAGATCACAAAAGTGTGCCCTGAGAAATTGTAGCTGGCAATGTGGCAACACAGAGATGAGCCAGAGCTCCTAGTTGCCACCACACCCACCACTTAGGCGTCCTAACCACAAACTATTCTTTACCGCTGGGGCCAGGCTCAGGAGTGCGAGGGAAATCTGTTGTCTCCCACCCATGCACTACTTTCTCAGTCCTCATCAAAAAATCTGATCGTTTAAAAAAAATAATAACCTGGGTCCACGTAGCCCCTAACTCGTCCGGGGCGGGTGCATTCTTTGTGGGCGAGTTTTTCCACGCCTGATTGCCAAACCCGGTCCCCGGAGACAGAAGAGAGCGCGCCCTGGCTTCCCCGGGCAGGGTCTGGGCAAGGAGCTAGCTGGGCGCCCTCTGCCCAGCGCACCGGCTAGGACAAGCGCTGCGCGAAGGCTCCAAGTTAGGCGGACACTGAGTGCTGGGATACGGCAGGGGCGGGCGAGAGGCAAAGTGCGCCCTCTGCCTGCCGCTGCGGAGCCTCTGGCGCTGGCCGAGCCCGAGCGCGGCGCCCTGGCCACCGCGGCTCCGCTTACCTGGGGTCGGTCCCGCGCAGAGCGCGCGGAAGGCTCGGACGCCCCAGACCCAGCCTGACTTGGGCAGCAGACTTTGACCTGAGATCCAAGATTCCTCTCGCAGCCCGCCCTCTTTGCCGTCTGCCAGACTTTTCAGTGTGGCGCCCGGGGGTGGGGTGTGTCCTTCCCGTCAGTGTTCGTGGGTCCACCAGGTGACAGGATCGAGGCGGGTCTAGGTCCTGCGGAGTCCGGAGGCTGCTGGCACTCACTTTGCTCCTTTGCCCTGATTGCTGCTGCTTGACTATCCCTGTTTGCTATTCTTGGTCGTTCGGACGTTTGTCTTCCGTGTAGCTAGAGATGAGGAATCCTTTTATTTATTTTTTTAAGCCACTTACTGATGGAACATCATCAGCCCCCACTCCGTGACCACATATACAGTTGAAAGTTCTTTTCTCCCAAAGTTCCATATTTGACCAGCACTTATTTATTAAAACAATATTTTCCCTCTTCTGTATTTGTGGAGTAAGGTGGAAAGGGCCAGCCAGGGTTTCAGGGAGCTGTGTGATGGAGCTAGGTTACTCGTGGAACGGTGCCTGCGTTTCTGTGGCTGGGTCGGAACGTCAGTGTTTTTTCATAAAAGAATTATGGAATCCACTAGATTCCAACACTCAGTCCGCAGTCCAAGCCGAAACATTGGCAAAATAATTGCAGGGTTCCACCGGCTAGAAATATTTTTCCCTTCATGAATATCATTCACTACTTTCGGGACCTCGTTTAATCATTAAAGCAGCTCTAAAACAGGTACGCTGACAGTTGAGGAAACTGAGGAAGTGGGTCATAACGAAGGAGCTGCGCCCGAGCCTCTTCTGGTTTTCTATTTTGATATTAACTTCAGATGTTTTCTCCTGTACACAAATGCTCATGTGTTAGGGAGAGCACCTACTGTTGAAGAAAAACACTAGCTTCAACCTGAAGCCCAGGGACTGTATTGTTTTGTGGCTTTTCAACATAGTTTAGAAATACTTAGAATTTTAAGGTGAGACGTTGGAGACCAAATAATTGAGAACAGTTTGAAATTGCAAAGTGGTTACACCCATAAATGTTGATTATCTGCATGGGTAAGAGACCAGTAAGTGAAAGGAAGTTTGCTGTGCACTGAAGAGCAGGAGACATTGTCTGGGATGCTTTCCCTGCACACACTTCTTCCTTTCACTCCTCGTTTTTTTCTCACCTGGAAAGATTTTTGTCAGGAATTCCATGTACACAGATTGTGTGGAAATCATCAGTATAACCAGGGTGTGATTAGTTAGGGTTCTATGAAATAAAAAATTGAAGTGTGAATTAACCACTGGAATCATCACAGAGATTAGTAAATGAGAGACAATAAAACGAGGTTCAAAAAGTAGGCTCTAGTTCCTGTGGAAATTCTTCCCTCTACTTCCCTCTTCTCTGCATTTAAAGATAATGGGTAAATTACTGAAGATGAGAAAATAAGTTACAGTGATTTGCCTGCTGTTTCATAGAAACACTTGTATTCTATTTAAGTGGAGGCATTGAGAAAAGGTAGCTAAAACAGGGCTTTGAAAGGTAGCAAATTAAGTTGGGGGCAATTATATTTTTCATGTGGGTATTTCAGCACATATGTTTTGCATTAATTGCTGCAATAAATTCTGTGAACCTGGCAAAGAGCAAAAATAGCATATTGATGACATCAGGCTTCAAATCAGAAGGCTGTTTTGAGTATCTTGCTTGCTTCACTGTTCCATGCAAAAACCATTTTTTTTAACTGTTGTCTGTTAAGTCCCAAAGAGTTATCCAAACACTCTAGAAATAGGCAGGTTTTTCATGAGTGAAATCGAAGGCTCAGCAGCAATCTTGCCTCACTTGCTTCTGGAGAAACACAGTCAATCACTGCTTTCCTTCCTACTTGGTTTCTCCTACATACTGGAGTTCGCAGAGCGCTCCCAAATAAACGCAGAGGTAAACGTGTCTTCAAAGTCTCCAAGCTGAGTTGTCTTTTTGCTTTCAGACAAGAACCCTGACCACTTGACGGATTACATGGTGGGGTCTCACAAGGGACTGGAGGAGAGGAAGAGACATGGATTGATTGTATTGCTATGACGTCTGTTTAAGTCAATATCAAAACTGTTTCATCTTGAAGTTTCTCTGTATTTATTTTAAGTAGCTGAGTTTATCGTTTTCTAAGTGATAGTCAAGGAGGATATGAATAAACCCCACAGCCCCAGTGGAAAACAAAACTCCTCCTGCTTGCTAAAAATAGGAGGTTTTAAATTTTTACATTTTGCCTGTTTACAAGTTGGTGGGTCTTTAATCATCATGTAATTTTAACATTCCCTGTTTAACTCAGAGTGACTAAGGGGGAAAGCTGTTTGTTGGTGGAAGTTAACATGCAGTTTTTCCCTAGATTTTGCAACCCAATTTAGCAATTAGTAAATGTCCATAGATTTTGTATTTTATTATATAGCATAGCAGTTCTCACACTGAAGAAATTTAGGCAGGGAGGCAAATTTGCAACATCTTCCATGTGGATTTATTGAATAATCCTCTAAGTAAGCAAAATACCACTTGGAAGAAGTGTGTTTGCAGCACTGAGCATGTGCACTGCTAGTGTTGTCCCCTCACGAAACTCATCTATGCTCACATGGTGTTTTATGGATAAGTTTATACCTTTTGGACTCATGATGGTATAACATCCTATTTTTCTGTATTACAAATTAGTGGTACAAAAATTACAGAAAACACTTGTTGAAATGATTTGTGCTATCTAATCTTGCTAATTTTCCCTACCTGTCCCCTTAATCATTTACCATATTCAAAGATGGCATCAAGTCTGGAGTTACAGACACGTTGTGATATTTGCCTGAATATACAACAGCTACTTATGGTAGATTTTGCATTTTAGCAGAATAAGAAGTGACACCATCCTAAAAGCTGTGTATAGAGATCTTTCATTTAGGTGTTTTTTTTTTTTTTTTTTTTTAAATTTGGCAGGAGTGTCTTGGATTTCCATGCCTGAAATACTCTCATGGGTTTTTCAGCCAGATTGGAATGCCGTTAGGGCTGATTCTGAGACCAGAGTGCTGTTTAGGACATCCACCCTTCTATGAGTCTGCTGAGTATCTTGCTTCCCATGTTGGATCACTCTCCCCTTTATTTATTCTATCTGTTAGTATTAGCAGGTACTAGACTTGTTTATGTGCTCCCTAAATGAAAGATTTCTGTGAGTGAGATCCCAGTGGAAAGAACAGGTCTTCAAAGAAGGAGGTACCTTTCTCAGAAGGGAGGAGAGAACCTCCACTTTGACTATGACCTTGTCTAAACAAGATAAGAGTCGGAGAACTCAAGGGGCTTCCATAGCCTTGGAAACTCATGACTGGTGCATAGGGAGATTACTGAGGCCATAAACAAGAGTGTCAACTTGTTAAGTCAACAACAGGAGTCACTGTGCACTTACTCCTCATGTAGGATCTCTGTCCTTAATGTGCTCTACATTGAGACTTAATGCTATAACGAGTACTCAAATAGTATATTTCACTTTGTGTTTCTATGGGGGTGCAAACTGTTGAAATCTTTACTTAATGTATACTAAACTGATCTTCTGTAAAAAAAAAAAAAAAAGAAGAAGAAATTATCAATTCCCAATTTGACTCTCACTGGGATTAAACATGACAATAGGTCTGATCTGATTTCATCATCATTTAAAAAATCATCTATTATTTTTCACTTTATGTTTCTGTGTGGGAGCAAACTGTTGAAATCTTTACTTAATGTATGCTAAACTGATCTCCTGTATATAAAGAGAATCGAAAATGAATCCTCATGTGAATGGAAGGGGAGAGGGAGTGGGAAAGGGGAGGGTTGCGGGTGGGAGGGACGTTATGGGGGGGAAGCCATTGTAATCCATAAGCCGTACTTTGGAAATTTATATTCATTAAATAAAAGTTAAAAAAAAGATGTAAAATTTGAGGCATGTATTTTAAATATATTTCACAGATCTAAAAAAAAAAAAGCTGTGTATAGATAACATGTTGCATTGTTACTCTTTAAATATGTTAACTGCAGCAAACAGTGCCAATAATTGGAAATATTTCAGAAAGGTAAAATAAAAGGGAATAGTATTTGCTCAGTCTATTTTTATATTCTGATTTGTCATAGATAAGTTAATATGATTTACAATAGATAACTCAAAAAGATAAACTCAGAGATTTTGTTCTTGTGTTTCCAACATTTCTGATCTAAATTATTGTGCTTTGATATCCTTGTTTTCTGGAAAAAGATTTCCAAGTGTAGTTGTATGTATTTTATCCAACTGAACTAGTTAATCTATGCTTACAAGGAGAGTTGCCTTATTTTCTGAGAAAAATTTAACAAATGAAACATTTGCACATTGTGAAAGAAAAATCATTCTTCCCTTTGAAAATGTTGTTCAAAATCATTCTAAACATTTAATATACAAAAACATTCAGAGGTGACCCCTTGGAAATTAATGAAGAATATTTTATTTCATGTTTGGTCTGGCTTATATTAGGCTTACTACCCTAAATCTTTTTTTAAAGAAAATATTTATTTATTTATTTATTTGAAAGGCAGAGACAGAGAGAGAGAGAGACAGAGAGATCTTCCATCTGCTGGTTCACTCCCAGGTGGCCACAACAGTCGGAGCTGTGCTGATCCAAAGCCAAGAGTCAGGAGCTTTTTCTGGGTCTCCCACGTAGGCCCGGGGTCCAAAGACTTGGGCCATCTTTTGCTGCTTTCTCAGGCATAGTAGAGAGCTAGATCAGAAGTGGAGCAGGGGCCAGTGCTGTGGCGTAATGGGTAGAGCTGCCTCCTGCAGTGCTGGCATCCCATATAGGCACTCCTTTGGGCCCCAGCTGCTCCATTTCTGATCCAGCTCTCTTCTATGGCCTGGGAAAGCAGAAGATGGCCCAAGTCCTTGGGCTCCTGCACTCATGTTAAAGACCTGGAAGAAGCTCCTGGCTTCAGATCAGCACAGCTCCAGCCATCGTGGCCAATTGGGGAGTAAACCAGCAGATGGAAGACCTCTCTCTCTCTCTCTCTCTGCCTCTCCTCTCTCTGTGTAACTCTGACTTTCATACAAATATATAAATTGAAAAAAAGAGGCCGGCGCCGCAGCTCACTAGGCTAATCCTCCGCCTTGCGGCGCCGGCACACCAGGTTCTAGTCCCGGTCGGGGTGCCGGATTCTGTCCCGATTGCCCCTCTTCCAGGCCAGCTCTCTGCTGTGGCCCGGGAGTGCAGTAGAGGATGGCCCAAGTGCTTGGGCCCTGCACCCCATGGGAGACCAGGATAAGTACCTGGCTCCTGCCATCGGATCAGTGCAGTGCGCCGGCCACAGCGCGCTGGCCGCGGCGGCCATTGGAGGGTGAACCAACGGCAAAAGGAAGACCTTTCTCTCTGTCTCTCTCTCTCACTGTCCACTCTGCCTGTCAAAAAAATAAATAAATAAATAAATAAATAAAAGAAAGAGTGGAGCATTGGGACTTGAACCAGCAGCCAAATGGGATGCCTGCACTGCAAGTGGTGGCTTTACTGGCTACACCACAGTGCCAGCCCCACTACCCTAATTCTTATAGTG